AAAAGCTGTCAACTCCCTTGTCTCAGTAGGCTTGTGTATTAGGCTTGGTCAAACGTAGGGTTCAGGAGCGGTTTCGCAGACACAGATTACATCTAGTCCTGGACTATAAGTAATTTTGGCTGGAGATTTTCTATTGATCTTGCTTTTTGAGTCCAGGACTAGGCTTAATCTGTGTCATAATGTTTAAATGAGTGTAATGGGATTATGTTTTACATGAAAAAAATTAATTCACATTACAAGTACATTAATGGCGTAAACCTACTTTAAGAATATGTATTAGGTTGTTTGAGATAATGTTTGAATCCTAATCAACCCATCCAATGTGAATACATCTGTTGTTGAAGTACAGCAGTTCAATAAAGCTACAGTACTCTAGCAGTGGTCAAGCTGCTTATGCTGAAAAGCCTTGTAAGTGCATAGGTCAAATTAGCTTTTGAATTTCCTGTCTTTTTGGCTTCAGACAAAAGCTAATATTTCACTTAAAACGTAGTTTTTGGTATTAATATATACTGAGTAAGGAACAATGATAATTAATCATGTAAGTGTGTGCATAATGGGATGTAAAGGGATATGGAACAAAAAGAGTCATGTAACAATGAGAGTCAAGGCTTTTTAGTGCTTGGATCATATTAATCATGGAAAGAGCAGTATCACACTACTAAGGCTGTGTTTAGACAGGCAACCTAGTTATTTTTTCAGATCAGCTCTAAAAAAGATCTGATGTGAAAAGATCTGATGTGATTGGTCAAAAGACCAATTAGTGGAAAAAACATCAGAATTGGGCTGGCTGTCTAAACGCAGCCATAGTGATTATCAATGTCCTTTGGGGGTTGATTTTCTCCCTTTCACTTATTTAATTATGAAATATAGACACAGTTAACATTTCATACCAGTGACTTAACACTAAGCACTTTTGCCATGGGCATCTTTAAATGTCAACATCAAAGCATCATAGGTGGAGGGCATTATTTATGGTGTTGGGGCTGTGGGAATTGTGTTTAAACTTGCACAATAATCTTCTTACATGTACCACAATCTCAACCTGCCCTCCAGGTAAAAATAAACCAGATATTTACTCTTCAGTGGAAATGGTCCCACAGACCTGTACTCATCCCAGACACAAGACACACACAGGCCCCTCCAGGCAGTTGTGTCCTATTGAACAGGCACACTAACAGGGGAACGATGGTGACAATTATAATTTGGATTCTCCACAGGAGTCTCACTTAAAATTCTAAAAGACTCACATCAGCCTGCTAGGTGATTTGATTTCTGAGGGAAACGGAGGGGTGGAGGTGGTTATCACGAAAAGCTTGTTGCCCTAATGTCTGTCTTTGATTTACTATCTTTTTGATAGAGATTATATGGTTGATTCTAAATGTATTGGAGGGTGGATTCATCAAAAATCTATTTTAATTACATCGGATCGACTTTTACCAGTATGCTCAAACAGGTTGTCAATTGCATCTAAACCTTAAGGGAGAAATGTTTAGTAATATAAAAAGATCAGATTTTGATCCACCTTTTTTGACAGACGGTTTGTACAGAGATTATTCTGCAAACATGCATACAACACACACACACAAATAATCATCCTATGATAATGTCACAGGTTATCATTGACCTGGCCAGCAAAATCAAACTACACACAGACAAAAATGGTTCTAAATATTACCAGATCAAATCAAATCAATTTGATTTGTCACATACACGTGTTTAGCAGATGTTATTGCGGGTGTAGCGAAATGCCTGTGCTTCTAGCTTCTGACAGTGCAGTAATATCTAACAAGTAATATCTAACAATTTTACAACATATACCCTATACACACAAATCTAGTAAGGAATGGAATGTAAGAATATATACATATATGGACAAGCAATGACAGATAGGGGTGATTTGGCTTGTAACCATAGCGGGAACCCTTTTTGGTGCTATATAGAACCTATTTTTGAAGGTTCAATAAAGAGCCATTACATTTACATTTACATTTTAGTCATTTAGCAGACGCTCTTATCCAGAGCGACTTACAGGAGCAATTAGGGTTAAGTGCCTTGCTCAAGGGCACATTTACGTCATTTTTACTCACACATTTACACTCACACACACACACACTCACACACACTCACACACACTCACACACACACACACACACACACACACACACACTCACACACACACTCACACACACACTCACACACACACACTCACTCACTCACTCACACACTCACACTCACACACACACACTCACACTCTCACACACTCACACTCTCACACACACACACTTTCTCTCTCATTGGAACAGCCATGTTCATAACGTTTTAAATGGAACCTGTATGGTGCTATTACGGTTTCTTACTCAAATTAAACCATATTGGCCACGTCAGTGCATGGCAATTAAAAGTTACATTACGTAAAACAATGGTCATTAAATTAACAAACACTTGTTCATGTTTTAACAAAGATTCATGACAGGCCTGGAGATCATTAGACTATTAGCTCCATATCTATTTTCCAATTTTAGCAACGGTTGTTTATGCACTACCTAGCACCAGTTCATTAATTTAATTTCTATGCATGTTTTCACAGAGAAAGGCAGTGTTTTTGCTAGAGCTTAGTTACCGTCATGATCACAGTCCTGGGTCACAATGGGTCAATTAGCATTCATCATCCCTTGGGCTGTGCAGCAGGTAGTGGATCTGTGAGTATACAGGTTCAAAGGAAGGAACGGGAGGGCAGATAGAAACTGTGTTAGCTAGCGCCTGATAATCACAGAGTCGCTGGTAGGATTTCAAATTGGGTGAAGGACGATAGTGCAGGTCCCTCTAGCATCAGCTGTATTTTAAAAAAAGGCAAAAGAAGATGAAATTAAAGACAAACTGTAAAAACGCAGGCAGACTAACAAAATGTTCCATTACATTACTGCTTTTCGGGGAAACGCCTGAACTCAAACGGCACTTGATAAATCCAACAGTCAAATTCAATCCTATGAATGTGAAATGAGAAAAAGAAGATCCAAGTGGCATAAGATCCAAGTGACTTACTAACTGTAAGTCGCTCTGGATAAGAGCGTCTGCTAAATGACGTAAATGTAAAATGTAAATGTATAAGAGACTCAGGGAGGGAGGGTGAGTAAAAACATTTGTAACAAATTTTAACAACACTTTTCAAAAGGGCTTGTGTTGTTGAAGGCCAACAATCCAGTGGAAATGGACTAAAGCACAATGATCCTGACCTGAGGAAGGCTGCCATGGTCTATCTAGAGGGGGCCCGGGCCCCTAATGGCACAATTCCACTGGAGGAACCAAACCGTGCTGGGCCGTGCCAGAACCAAGACAAACTAGCCTTGTTGGTTCTTGTTTATTTTCCATTTGCTGTGGAACTGGAAACAGGACTACGTTTAATTTGCAAGAAAAACTGTTATGCTGTGATGATTTTAAGACCGATTAAGCAATTCGACAGCGACATTGTTGTGATCCTCGTTGACTGGCATTTTTAAGTATGGAGGAGGGAGACGTACTGGTAGAGTTAGCCAGGCTATTTTGTGCCATCCTTTTCATTTTTGTTTGTGGGCAGCAATGGAGAATGAACAGCATAGCGGAGACAGCTGAAAAGAGTAGAAAAAATTCACAACGTATCATCATGCGGGAAGTGGATTGCTTCAGACAGTTGAAAGACCAGCTTATGCATTGAAAGAAATGCTCAAAAGAGGTATGTGTATCTGTTTAGCAAGCTAGCTGTTGTGTAGCAGTTTTTTTTTTTATTGTTCAAATCGTATTTGGAATGAGGACAGCTATTACAGTTGCTTGCAATAGTACAGTCCTGAAATAATGTATTAATGAGTATCTGTCTTTGTGATATATACAGTATATACTGAACAGAAATAAAAGCACAACATGTAAAGTGTTGGTCCCATGTTTCATGATCCGAAATAAAATATCTGAGAAATGTTCCATATGCACAAAAAGCTTATTTCTCTAAAATGTTGTGCACAAATTTGTTTGCATCCCTGTTAGTGAGCATTTCTTTCCTTTGCCAAGATAATCCATTCACCTGACAGGTGTGGCATATCAAGAACCTGATTAAACAGCATGATCATTACACAGGTGCACCTTGTGCTGAGGACAATAAAAGGCCACTCTACAATGTGCAGTTTTGTCACTCAACACAATGCTACAGATGTCTCAAGTTTTGAGGGAGAGTGCAATTGGCATGCTGACTGCAGGAATGTCCACCAGGGCAGTTACCAGAGAATGTAATGTTAATTTCTCTACCATAAGCCACCTCCAACGTCATTTTAGAGAATTTGGCAGTACGTCCAACCGGCCTCACAACCGCAGACCACGTGTAACCATGCCAGCCCAGGAGCTCCACATCCGGCTTCTTCATGTGCGGGATCGTCTGAGACCAGCAACCTGGACAGCTGATGAAACTGAGGAGTGTTTCTGTCTGTAATAAAGCCCTTTTGTGGGGGAAAACTCAATCTAATAGGGTGGGCCTATGCCCTCCCAGCCTCACCCATGGCTGTGCCCCCTCACTGTCATGTGAAAGCCATAGATTAGGGCCTAATGCATTCATTTCAATTGACTGATTTCCTTATATGAACTGTAACTCAGTAACGTCGTTGAAATTGTTGCATGTTGTGTTTATATTTTTGTTCAGTATACATTGTACATACCTAGGACTAACGTTACATCATACACAACATACTGCAAGAGTAATATTTCAGGACTGCACCTTATTGCAAGTGTAATAGCTAGCTGTCCTCATTCCATACTGCTAGAGTAATTTAGCTGAACATTCTTATACGAAACACTTCCTGACCTAATCAGGCAATAATTAATCAACCCAATCAACCATATTATCTCCACCTATGCTATGTTGAAATGATGTGTGTACCATTGACTGGAGTGGTCAGACAAAGTTATTTTTCCCTAAGGAACATTACAATATCATGAACCTATAGTAACAATCTGCAATTTATGTGTTTCAGATCTATCACATGTTAAAGAGCTGTAGGCGAGCACCCACTGTCTGGACTCTGTGCCAGTCAACTGATTGGTGGGACCACTGTGTTCCACAATTTACAGACACCCAATGGATCGATAACTTCCGCATGTCGGCAGAGACTTTCCGGTTCCTCTGCAACAGGCTGAGTCCTGTTATGAAGAGACAGGATACAGTGTTCCACCTTTTTGTCCCTTTCCGAAAGCAAATTGCCATTGCCCTGTGGAAGGTGGCCACAATTTCAGAATACTGCAGTGTAGCACACCTTTTTGGAGTTGGTATTACAACTGTATGGCATTGCGCAAACAATTTTTGCATAGCTTTCATCCAAGTTCTGTTGCCTGAACTCCTCCTACTCCCAACTGCTGAGAAGCTGGCAGCAGGGGCGCAACTTTCACTGGTGACGGGGGGGACATGAACCCCCCACATTCTGAAATTGCATTTTTGTCCGCCCCAGTTATATCATTGCACTGTGATACAAAACTCGGCACCGGTGTGCTTTAGGACCATGCGGATGCCTCAGAGCGGTCGGGTAGGCTGTTTTCAGGTTTCAGCCGGCTGGATTTAGGACCGCACGGACACCACAGAGCATGCCGACAGGCTGTGTGAAGGTAAAGTTCCTGAAAGGCTGGCACATAGGACAAGCACGGGAGAGATGAACAGAGGCAGCTACTGTCTGTGTGTGTTTAGCTTTTTCTCTGAGTTGTAAAAGCAAGCAAGCAGAGCAGAAACTGGCTACTCTTTAGTTGACTGATCTAGCTGGCAAGGTAACTGCTCTTTGACAGAAAAAGAAAAATAAATATTCCCAGTGCTGAGATAGTAGTGTAACTGACATGTTATGTTAGCTTATGTTTCATCCTCTCTTGACTGAAGTGAATGAACTTATAGCAGCTAGCTAGTTAGTTCAGCCAGTTCAGCTCTAGCTAGCCTCCAGCTATCAGTCAGGTAGCAGTATCTAAAAGCTGTTTTGTGTATGGAAATGTTTTGTAGCCTTTGCAGTACATTATAACAATCAGTGAATGGATACAAAGTTCCATCTTGAGTTGATGGGTAGGCTACAGTCTGGGATCTAGGAATAATGGTAATTTCAATGATTGAACAATTGATTCTATTCTTGGATAATATAATGTATAAATGTACACTAAGGTAATTATTGGTAATGCCTCATCTGAGCAGGATCAGATGGTGATCGGGGTCTCATCAGGGTCAGGCAGCCAGGGAAGACCAGTCTGTGACAGCGCAGAGGTGAACTTTTACAGATACAACACTTTATTTTTCCTCTTCTCTGTGCAGCAAACACTGGACAAGCAAGAAGCTTCAAAGATTGAAACTATTTTAAGGCAGTCTGACAAACCTCTAAAGTTGATTTCCAAACTGTATCAAGGGTGACACAAAACATGTTAAAAAAAACAATGTGAGCAGTGGTGTAAAGTACTTAAGTAAAAATATTTAAAGTACCACTGAAAGCTATTTAGTGTATCTGTACTTTACTTTACCATTTATATTTTTGACAACTTTTACTTTTCCTACACTACATTCCTAAATAAAATAATGTACTTTTTACTCCATACATTTTCCCTGACACCGAAAAGTACTCATTACATTTTGAATGCTTAGCTGGACACGAAAATTGTCAATTTCAAATCAAATCAAATAAAGTTATTTGTCACATGCACCCAATACAACAGGTGTAGACCTTACAGTGAAATGCTTACTTACAGGAATACCAACAAAAAATCACACAGAAAAATACTATATAACATAATAAGAAATAAAAGTAACAAATAATTAAAGAGCAGCAATAAAAATAACAATAGCGAGGCTATATGCAGGGTGTACCAGTACCGAGTCAATGTGCGGGGGCACCGGTTAGTCGAGGTAGTTGAGGTAACATGTACATGTAGGTAGAGTTATTAAAGTGACTATGCATAGATAATTAACAGAGAGTAGCAGCAGCGTAAAAGAGGTAGAAGCTGTTTAGAAGCCTCTTGGACTTACTTGGCGCTCCGGTACCGCTTGCCATGATGTAGTAGAGAGAACAGTCTATGACTAGGGTGGCTGGAGTCTTTGACAATTTTTAGGGCCTTCCTCTGACACCGCCTGGTATAGAGGTCCTGGATGGCAGGAAGCTTGGCCCCAGTGATGTACTGGGCCATACACACAACCCTCTGTAGTGCCTTGCGGTCGGAGGTCGAGCAGTTGCCATACCAGGCAGTGATGCAACCAGTCAGGATGCTCTTGATGGTGCAGCTGTAGAACCTTTAGAGGATCTGAGGACCAATGCCAAATCTTTTCAGTCTCCTTAGGAGGAATAGGTTTTGTCGTGCCCTCTTCACGACTGTCTTGGTGTGCTTGGACCATGTTAGTTTGTTGGTGATGTGGACACTAAGGAACTTGAAGCTCTCAACCTGCTCCACTACAGCCTTGTCGATGAGAATGGGGGCGTGCTCGGTCCTCTTCTTTTTCCTGTAGTCCACAATCATCTCCTTTGTCTTGAACACGTTGAGGGAGAGGTTGTTGTCCTGGAACCACACGGCCAGGTCTCTGACTTCCTTCCTATAGGCTGTCTCATCGTTGTCGGTGATCAGGCCTACCACTGTTGTGTCATCGGCAAACTTAATGATGGTGTTGGAGTCATGCCTGGCCATGCAGTCATGAGTGAACAGGGAGTACAGGAGGGGACTGAGCTTGGTTTGTAAATTGTGTCTGAGTGTGCCACTGGCACTGACTAGAAAATGATTCATATTTTTACTTTTGATACTTAAGTATATTTTACCATTTACATTTACGTTTGATACTTAAGTATATTTGAAAACCAAATACTTTTAGACTTTTACTCAAGTAGTATATCACTGGGTCACATTAACTTTTACTTGAGCAATTTTCTATTAAGGTATCTTTACTTTTACTCAAGTATGACAATTGGCTACTTTTTCCACCACTGACTGTGAGGAAAGCCTGGGAGACACGATTGATGGTGGTGAATGGATAGAGATACAGTGGCTTGTGAAAGTATTCACCCCCCTTGGCATTTTTCCTATTTTTTGCCTTACAACCAGGAATTAAAATGGATTTTTGGGGGGGTTGTATAATTTGATTTACACAACATGCCTACCACTTTGAAGATGCAAAATATGTTTTATTGTGAAACAAACAAGAAATAAGACAAAACATTAAAAAAAACTTGAGCATGCATAACTATTCACCCCCCCAAAGTCAATACTTTGCAGAGCCACCTTTTGCAGCAATTAGAGCTGCAAGTCACTTGGGGTATGTCTCTATAAGCTTGGCACATCTAGCCACTTGGATTCTTGCCCATTCTTCAAGGCAAAACTGCTCCAGCTCCTTCAAGTTGGATGGGTTCCGCTGGTGTACAGCAATCTTTAAGTCATACAACAGATTCTCAATTGGATTGAGGTCTGGGCTTTGACTAGGCCATTCCAATACATTTAAATGTTTCCCCTTAAACAACTCGAGTGTTGCTTTATCGGTATGCTTAGCGTCATTGTCCTGCTGGAAGGTGAACCTCCGACCCAGTCTCAAATCTCTGGAAGACTGAAACAGGTTTCCCTCAAGAATTTCCCTGTATTTAGCGCCATCCATCATTCCTTCAATTCTGACCAGTTTCCCAGTCCCTGCCGATGAAAAACATCCCCACAGCATGATGCTGACACCATGCTTCACTGTGGGGGTGGTGTTCTCGGGGTGATGAGAGGTGTTGGGTTTGCGCCAGACATAGTTTTATACTTGATGGCCAAAAAGCTCAATTTTAGTCTCATCTGACCAGAGTACCTTCTTCCATATGTTTGGGGAGTCTTCCACATGCCTTTTGGCGAACACCAAAAGTGTTAGCTTATTTTTTTTTTAAGCAGTGGCTTTTTTCTGGCCACTCCTCCGTAAAGCCCAGCTCTGTGGAGTGTACGGCTTAAAGTGGTCCTATGGACAGATACTCCAATCTCCGCTGTGGAGCTTTGCAGCTCCTGCAGGGTTATCTTTGGTCTCTTTGTTGCCTCTGATTAATGCCCTCCTTGCCTGGTCCGTGAGTTTTGGTGGGTGGCCCTCTCTTGACAGGTTTGTTGTGGTGCCATATTCTTTCCATTTTTTAATAATGGATTTAATGGTGAACCGAGGGATGTTCAAAGTTCCAGATATTTCTTTATAACCCAACCCTGATCTGTACTTCTCCACAAATTTGTTCCTGACCTGTTTGGAGAGCTCCTTGGTCTTCATGGTGCCGCTTGCTTGGTGGTGCCCATTGCTTAGTGGTGTTGCAGACTCTGGGGCCTTTCAGAACAGGTGTATATATACTGAGATCATGTGACAGATCATGTGACACTTAGATTGCACACAGGTGGACTTTATTTCACTAATTATGTGACTTCTGAAGGTAATTGGTTGCACCAGATCTTATTTAGGGGCTTCATAGCAAAGGGGGTGAATAAATGTGCACGCACCACTTTTCCGTTATTTATTTTTTAGAATTCTCCAATTTGAACTATTTTGTGTATTTCCATTACATTAAATCCATTACAGGTTGTAATGCAACAAAATAGGAAAAACGCCAAGGGGGATGAATATTTTTGCAAGGCACTGTATGTTAGAATGCCCAGTCATGTTCATATAATCTCAGTCATAAATTACTGCAGTTTTAGACCATCCCATAGAACATACTATATGCCAGCAAAAACTGAATATCATGCAGTCAGAAATGTAATTATTTTGCTGGGGGTGTAAAACACAAAAGGAGACATATTTGCATATGTTATGGTCTTGTGAAGGATGGCTGAATTCTGGCAAATAGTATGTTATTTTATCTCAGCATGTCTACAGATTCTCCTTTCTCCCTGTTTTTGTTTGCTTGGAAATGTTGATACTGGAGACATGTTGTCAGAAGAAACTGTGTAACTTTGCATTTATAGCGGCTAAGAATTGCATTGTCATTAATTGGAAGGTTGGTTATCCTCCCACAATTGATGGAAGAAATGTCAAGTTATGTATCACTATTTTGTATTTATTACAAGATTAAGGGTATGCTGTGCAACTTTCATAAGGTCTGGATGCCTTATATGGAATACTGTATGACAAAAGGAGTCTGTATTGAAAACAAGCCCACGTCAGGCGAGATACAGTGGGGAGAACAAGTATTTGATACACTGCCGATTTTGCAGGTTTTCCTACTTACAAAGCATGTAGAGGTCTGTAATTTTTATCATAGGTACACTTAAACTGTGAGAGACAAATCTAAAACAAAAATCCAGAGAATCACATTGTATGATTTTTAAGTAATTAATTTGCATTTTATTGCATGAAATAAGTCATCAGAAAAGCAGAACTTAATATTTGATACAGAAACCTTTGTTTGCAATTACAGAGATCATACGTTTCCTGTAGGTCTTGACCAGGTTTGCATACACTGCAGCAGGGATTTTGGCCCACTCCTCCATACAGACCTTCTCCAGATCCTTCAGGTTTCGGGGCTGTCGCTGGGCAATACGGACTTTCAGCTCCCTCCAAAGATTTTCTATTGGGTTCAGGTCTGGAGACTGGCTAGGCCACTCCAGGACCTTGAGATGCGTCTTACGGAGCCACTCCTTAGTTGCCCTGGCTGTGTGTTTTGGGTCGTTGTCATGCTGGAAGACCCAGCCACGACCCATCTTCAATTATCTTACTGAGGGAAGGAGGTTGTTGGCCAAGATCTCGCGATAGATGGCCCCATCCATCCTCCCCTCAATACGGTGCAGTCGTCCTGTCCCCTTTGCAGAAAAGCATCCCCACGAATGATGTTTCCACCTCCATGCTTCATGGTTGGGATGGTGTTCTTGGGGTTGTACTCATCCTTCTTCTTCCTCCAAACACGGCGAGTGGAGTTTAGACCAAAATAGCTCTATTTTTGTCTCATCAGACATTCTCCCATTCCTCCTCTGGATCATCCAGATGGTCATTGGAAAACTTCAGATGGGCCTGGACATGCGCTGGCTTGAGCAGGGGGACCTTGCGTGCGCTGCAGGATTTTAATCCATGATGGCGTAGTGTGTTACTAATGGTTTTCTTTGAGACTGTGGTCCCAGCTCTCTTCAGGTCATTGACCAGGTCCTGCCGTGTAGTTCTGGGCTGATCCCTCACCTTCCTCATGATCATTGATGCCCCACGAGGTGAGATCTTGCATGGAGCCCCAGACCGAGGGTGATTGACCGTCATCTTGAACTTCTTCCATTTTCTAATAATTGCGCCAACAGTTGTTGCCTTCTCACCAAGTTGCTTGCCTATTGTCCTGTAGCCCATCCCAGCCTTGTGCAGATCTACAGTTTTATCCCTGATGTCCTTACACAGCTCTCTGGTCTTGGCCATTGTGGAGAGGTTGGAGTCTGTTTGATTGAGTATGTGGACAGGTGTCTTTTTATACAGGTAACGAGTTCAAACAGGTGCAGTTAATACAGGTAATGAGTGGAAAACAGGAGGGCTTCTTAAAGAAAAACGAACAGGTCTGTGAGAGCCGGAATTCTTACTGGTTGGTAGGTGATCAAATACTTATGTCATGCAATAAAATGCAAATTAATTACTTAAAAATCATACAATGTGATTTTCTGGATTTTTGTTTTAGATTCCGTCTCTCACAGTTGAAGTGTACCTATGATAAAAATTACAGACCTCTACATGCTTTGTAAGTTGGAAAACCTGCAAAATCGGCAGTGTATCAAATACTTGTTCTCCCCACTGTACCTATTTAGGCAATCTGTAGCTGCTGGGCAGCTCATTCCTGGCCCTGGGGGTCTGCCGTACTGTTGGTTGTCACTCTGGCCTTGGCCTAACACACCTAAAGCTGAGTGGGGTGTGTTGGGTTGGGGCGCTGCAGGGCTGTGGACACCTAGGGGCAGGACGGGGTGACCAAGCTATATTGTGTGCAAGTAAAAAGAGCTCTATAGTACTATTAGGCGTATGATAGGAATTACATGGTGGATGTACTGTTTCTGTGTGTTAATCTGTAGGTACAGTGCCTTGCAAAAGTATTCATCCCCCTTGGCATTTTTCCTATTTTGTTGCATCACAACCTGTAATTTAAATGGATTTTTATTTGGATTTCATGTAATGGACATACACAAAATTGTCCAAATTGGTGAAGTGAAATTTAAAAAACTACTTGTTTCAAAAAATTCTAAACAATAAATAACGGAAAAGTAGTCTGTGCATACGTAAGTCACATAATTAGTTAAATAAAGTCCACCTGTGTGCAATCTAAGTGTCACATGATCTGTCACATGATCTCAGTATATGTACACCTGTTCTGAAAGGCCCCAGAGTCTGCAACACCACTAAGCAAGGGGCACCACCAAGCAAGCGGCACCATGAAGACCAAGGAGCTCTCCAAACAGGTCAGGGACAAATATATCTGAAACTTTGAACATCCCACAGAGCACCATTAAATCCATTATTAAAAAATTGAAAGAATATGGCACCACAACAAACCTGCCAAGAGCGGGCCGCCCACCAAAACACACGGACCAGGCAAGGAGGGCATTAATCAGAGAGGCAACAAAGAGACCAAAGATAACCCTGAAGGAGCTGCAAAGCTCCACAGCGGAGATTGGAGTATCTGTCCATAGGACCATTTTAAGCCGTACACTCCACAGAGCTGGGCTTTACGGAAGAGTGGCCAGAAAAAAAGCCATTGCTTGAAGAAAAAAATAAGCAAACACGTTTGGTGTTTGCCAAAAGGCATGTGGGAGACTCCCCAAACATATGGAAGAAGGTACTCTGGTCAGATGAGACTAAAATTGAGCTTTTTGGCCATCAGGTAAAACACTATGTCTAGCGCAAACCCAACACCTCTCATCATCCCCGAGAACACCTCCCCCACAGTGAAGTATGGTGTCAGCATCATGCTGTGGGGATGTTTTTCATCGGCAGGGACTGGGAAACTGGTCAGAATTGAAGGAAAAAAATTGAAGGAAGAAAAAAAAAAAAAAAAAAAGGAATGATGGATGGCGCTAAATACAGGGAAATTCTTGAGGGAAACCTGTTTCAGTCTTCCAGAGATTTGAGACTGGGTCGGAGGTTCACCTTCCAGAAGGACAATGACCCTAAGCATACTGCTAAAGCAACACTCGAGTGGTTTAAGGGGAAACATTTTAATGTATTGGAATGGCCTAGTCAAAGCCCAGACCTCAATCCAATTGATAATCTGTGGTATGACTTAAAGATTGTTGTACACCAGCGGAACCCATCCAACTTGAATGAGCTGGAGCCATTTTGCCTTGAAGAATGGGCAAAAATCCTATTGGCTAGATGTGCCAAGGTTATAGAGACATACCTCAAGAGACTTGCAGCTGTAATTGCTGCAAAAGGTGGCTCTACAAAGTATTATTTTAAATAGTTATGCACGCTCAGGTTTTCAGTTTTTTGTCTTATTTCGTGTTTGTTTCCCAAGAAAAACTATTTTGCATCTTCAAAGTTTTAGGCATGTTGTGTAATTCAAATGATACAAAACCCCCCAAAATCAATTTTAATTCCAGGTTGGAAGGCAACAAAATAGCAAAAATTCCAAGGGGGGTTGAATACTTTTGCAAGTGTTTTTAATGATCTCTTACCTAGCTTGATGACTTTGGGAATTTTTGATTACTTTTTGTTGTTCTAAATAGAGACGGCTAGAAGGGCCATAGGTCATATTAGATTGTGTAGAATTGCAGGAAATGAGCTTTAGATGCCCCAAAAATGGGAGGACCCCCACACCCCCCGTCAAGTTATGTCTCCCCCACTTCTAAAACCAAAGATGCACCTCTGGCTGGCAGAGATGGCAGCCTACTTTGAACAAAGGTGGAAGGTACCCCAGTGTGTTGGGGCCATCGACGGTAGCCACAGGAGTACCATTGTGATAATTTTATTTGCAAGGGCTGGCACTCCATCATCCTCCAGGTGGCTGTTGATGGTAGGGGGTTGTTCCGTTGGAAACCAGGGAGTGTCCATGACGCCCGTGTGCACCATCAGCCCAAGCTATGGGACCTCTTGGACAGTGGCACCCTCTTCCCTCAACACACCAGGACCCTTGGTGGTGAGGATGTGGGGTATTTTATTATTGGGGATGCTGCCTACACCTCTCAGCCATGGCTGGTGAAGCCTTTTGCAGATACTGGCAGACTGAATGACAAGATAATCTCAATGACAAAATCTGCAGGGCTAGGGTAGTGATCGGAAATTCATTTGGCAGACTGAAGGGAAGGTGGTGTTGCCTATTGAAACTCAATGACTGCAATGTGGATTTTGTCAAACAGATGACTCTTGCATGTTGTACACTGCACAATCTGCATGAGCAACACAATGAAGTGTTCAGAAGGGAGTGGAATGCTGCCCCAGGGAATGAAGCATTTCAGCAGCCTGCCGTGCCACTTCCGGAGAGGATGGGGACTAATGCAAACACAGTACGTGATGAACAGTAACACTTCAACAACTAGGTACATCAGAGTGGATTACACAGGATTGCTATTTAATGCTAAAAAGAAGGCTGTTGCTCTCTGGTGTGTAGGTAGGCAAAATAAAGAGAAAATGACCACAAGGAAAATAAACACAATGTTTAATAAGATGTTCTATTTTTAATTTATTTGTGATTTTCTCCCTCCTCTCACACCTAGCTCCACCAACTTTAAGAAGTTAAGAACTTTAAGAAGTTTATTGCTCCGAAATGTACATTGTTTAACGGTAGGCTAAATTAAATTAACAATAATTGAAAGCCACATTCATGATGCTTTTGGTGTAGTGATTTTTTTTTTTTTTACATAGAACGTCAGCCAGTTTAGTGTAGTTCAGTCCAATTTAGTCTAGTGACATGTCTGCTGCTGGTATCTGACATACTTTTATGGCCTGGACAAACAGCTATGAAGCTGTTGTTAAATGAGATGGTCGGGGCCATGTCAGCGGCCCTGACTGCCCTGTCTGCTGCACCGGCTGCTGCCTCATCTTCACACTGCTGATTGAAGTGCGGATCCTGCTGCTGACACTGGGCCTCAAGTGTCTCCAGGTATGAGGTTCAGGTATTCGCTGGTTGTGCTGACAGTGTGTTTTCTCTTCCCTGGGAAAATGTATTAGGCAGAAGTAATGAGATGTACAGGAAGGAATGATAAGGTACAGACTGTGTGAGCGTAGTTTTGTTCCAACCATGTATTGTCTCAAATGTATTACATTTTATCCAGAAAAGGCCAGTGTGGGCCAACCAGATCTACCAACCAGATACACCAATGATGCAAATAATAAAGGTATTGGGTCAGAATATGATTAATTGAATCAGTGTGACAGTTTATATATAAATTATTACATCCACACTGACTCCTTGGATAATGTTTACGAACATAACCCTGCCATGACAAAAGCCCTCTGTGGATGAGATTGCCCACCCCTGTTGAAGACAGCTAAATGTTGTGATTAGGGCTAAACAAGTGAACATGACAATGAATTGACATTGAACTGTTTACCAACCGAGAATGGACCCTTGGCGCCTCGGGGTGCAGGGCTCAGGTGTTGCAGGAGCATTTATTGTATCAATGGACCCTGGGTGTCTGGGGGTGCAGGGCTCTGAGGTTGTGGCTTCACCATTTGAGCACATAGCTTCCTCTGAGTCCTTAGATTCAGGAATGACCTCTGAAAAGTATGCTTGTTTGTATAATGTAAAGTCGGACACTCCGGCTAATGGCAAACATGTAGTTAAATCCACGGTGTTGGCCTTCCATGGATGTACAGTACCAGTCAAAGGTTTGGTCACACCTACTCATTCCAGGATTTTTCTTTATTTTTAGTATTTTTTATATTGTAGAATAATAGTGAAGACATCAAAACTATGAAATAGCACATATGGAATCATGTAATAACCAAAAAAGTGTTAAAAAATCAAAATATATTTTATATTTGAGATTCTTCAAAGTAGCCACCCTTTGCCTTGAAGACAGCTTTATAAACTCTTTGCATTCTCTCAACCAGCTTCATAAGGAATGCTTTTCCAACAGTCTTGAAGGTGTTCCCACATATGCTGAGTGCTTGTTGGCTGCTTTTCCTTCACTCTGCGGTCCAACTCATCACAAAACATCTCAATTGGGTTGAGGTCGGGTGATTGTGGAGGCCAGGTCATTAATCTCCTTCTTGGTCAAATAGTCCTTACACAGCCTGGAGGTGTGTTTTGGGTCATTTTCCTGTTGAATAACAAATGATAGTCCCACTAAGCGCAAACCAGATGGGATGGTGTATCGCTGCAGAATGTTGTGGTAGTCATGCTGGTTAAGTGTGCCTTGAATTCTAAATAAATCACACAGTGTCACCAGCAAATCAAGTCATATCAAATTGTATTTGTCACATGCACCGAATACAACAGGTGTGTCACACCCTGGCTCTGGGACTCTATATGTTGGGCCAGGGTGTGTTCATTCTATGTGGTTTATTTCTATGTTGGGGGTTCTGGTTTGTTGTTTTCTATGTTTGCCTTAGTGACTCCCAATCAGAGGCAACGAGTGTCAGCTGTTGGCTGGTTGTCTCTGATTGGGAGCCATATTTAACAGTCTGTTTTTCACTTTGTGGTTGTGGGTTTTTGTTCCGTGTTCGGTCATTGATACCGTGGACGTCACGAGTCGTTTCTTGTTTTGTATTCATGTTTAAACTTTAACTAATTAAAGTATGTTTGTTCATCACGCTGCGCCTTGGTCCTCATCTCTCACCGACGATCGTGACAGAAAAACCCACCAAAACTGGACCAAGCAGCGTGTCCAGGAGCCATCGCCAGGGGAATCGCTTGCAGATCTCCGTGGCAACCTCGACTGGGTCCAGCCTTGTAAAGAGCAGAGTGGATGGACTTGGGAACAGTGGAGGAAGAGTCTCGACTGGGTCAAGCCTAATGAAGAGCAGAATGGCTGGAATTGGAGGCAGAAGAGCGAGAGTTGGGCGAGAACGATAGAGGCCTGGCCCACGGCGAGGAGAGACCCCCAGAATTTTTAGGGGGGGGCTCACGACGTCGGGGCAGCAGGAGGCCGCGATAGAGCGGTCCAGCGGGTTGGCAGAGGAGGCCGCCAGGTTATGGGGGCCACTGGTCGAAGAGGGGATGGAAGGTGGAGAGGCACGGCGAGAGGTACTGGGGTGTGTTACCAGTCCGGTCCGGCCCGTTCCAGATCCCGGTGTAGGGCCAGTGGTGTGTGTCCCCAGTACGGTCCGGTCTGTTCCTGCTTCCCGCACCAAGTCAGTGGTGCGCTTCGTCAGCCCGGCTCGGCCCGTTCCTGCTCCCCGCACCAAGTCAGTGGTGCGCTTCGTCAGCCCGGCTCGGCCCGTTCCTGCTCCCCGCACCAAGCCAGTGGTGCGCTTCGTCAGCCCAGTCCGGCCTGTCCCTGCTCCACGCACCAAGCCTATGGTGTGCGTCGTCAGCCTGGTAAGGCCCGTTCCTCCTCCACGCACCAAGCCAGTGGTGTGCTTCGTCAGTCCGGTCCGGCCCGTTGCTGCTCCACGCACCAAGCCAGGGGTGCGAGTCGTCAGTCCGGTGAGGCCCATTCCGGCTCCACGCACCAAGCCAGGGCTGCGTATCGTCTGCCCGGTCCGGCCCGTCGCTGCTCCACGCACCAAGCCAGGGGTGCGCATCGTCAGCCCGGTCCGGCCCGTTGCTGCTCCACGCACCAAGCCAGGGGTGCGAGTCATCAGTCCGGTGAGGCCCGTTCCGGCTCCACGCACCAAGCCAGGGGTGCGTATCGTCAGCCCGGTCCGGCCCGTTGCTGCTCCACGCACCAAGCCAGGGGTGCGCATCGACAGCCAGGTCCGGTCCTTTCCTGCCTCACGCACCAAGCCTGGGGTGCGCGTCGTCAGTCCGGCACAACCCGTGCCTGGGTCATCGGTGCCAAATCAGGTACCGCTTTATTGCTCCCCAACGGAGCTGAAGCTAGCCGCTCCTGCTACGTCCAGGTCAGCTCCAGCCAGCGGGGCCAGACCGGACCAGGGGCGCTATGGGGGGTTTATTGGAGGGTGGTGGGCAAGCCCGGAGCCAGAACCGCCGCCGAGGAGGAGTGCCCACCCAGCCCTCCCCTATTTTTCTCTGGTTGAGGCGCGGTCGCAGTCCGCGCCTTTAGGGGGGGGTACTGTCACACCCTGGCTCTGGGACTCTATATGTTGGGCCAGGGTGTGTTCATTCTATGTGGTTTATTTCTATGTTGGGGGTTCTGGTTTGTTGTTTTCTATGTTTGCCTTAGTGACTCCCAATCAGAGGCAACGAGTGTCAGCTGTTGGCTGGTTGTCTCTGATTGGGAGCCATATTTAACTGTCTGTTTTTCACTTTGTGGTTGTGGGTTTTTTTTTCCGTGTTCGGTCATTGATACCGTGGACGTCACGAGTCGTTTCTTGTTTTGTATTCATGTTTAAACTTTAACTAATTAAAGTATGTTTGTTCATCACGCTGCGCCTTGGTCCTCATCTCTCACCGACGATCGTGACAAGGTGTAGACCTTACAGTGAAATACTTACTTACAAGCCCTTAACCAACAATGCAATTTTAAGAAAGAATACCAAAAAATATATAAAAAAACATAACGGAATTATAAGAAATAAAAGTAACTTAAAATTAAAGAGCAGCTCTCTTGGCGGTCCTCAAGAGAGCCAGTTTCATCATAGTGCTTGATGGTTTTTGCAACTTTATAGTTTTTGCTAATTCTTTTTTGAGATTCTTCAAATAGCCACCATTTGCCTTGATGACAGCTTTGCACACTCTTGGCATTCTCTCAACCAGCTTCTTGAGGTAGTCACCTGGAATGCATTTCAATTAACAGGTGTGCCTTCTTAAAATTTAATTTGTGGAATTTATTTCCTTCTTAATGCGTGTGAGGCAGTCAGTTGTGTTGTGACAAGGTAGGGGGGGTATACAGAAGATAGCCCTATTTGGTAAAAGACCAAGTCCATATTATGGCAAGAACAGCTCAAATAAGCAAAGAGAAACAACATCCCATCATTACTTTAAGACATGAAGGTCAATCAATACGGAACATTTCAAGAACTTTGAAAGTTTCTTCAAGTTCAGTCTCAAAAACCATCAAGCGCTATGATTAAACTGGCTCTCATGAGGACCGCCACAGGAATGGAAGACCCAGAGTTACCTCTGCTGCAGAGGATAAGTTCATTAGAGTTACCAGCCTCAGAAATTGCAGCCCAAATAAATGCTTCACAGAGTTCAAGTCACAGACACATCTCAACATCAACTGTTCAGAAAGGACTGTGTGAATCAGGCCTTCATGGTCGAATTGCTGCAAAGAAACCACTACTAAAGGAAACCAATAAGAAGAACAGACCTGCTTGGGCCAAGAAACACGAGCAATGTACATTAGACCGTGGACATTTGTTCTTTGGTCTGGAGTCCAAATTTGAGATTTTTGGTTCCAACAGCAGTGTCTTTGTGAGTTGCGGTGTGGGTGAACGGATGATCTCCGCATGTGTAGTTCCCACCGTAGAGCATGGAGGAGGAGGTGTTAGGGTGTTTTGCGGGTGACACTGTCTGTGATTTATTTAGAATTCAAGGTACACTTAACAGGCATGACTACCACATCCTTCTGCAGCGATATGCCATCCCATCTGGTTTGGGCTTAGTGGGACTATCATTTGTTTTTCAACAGGACAATGACCCAACACACTTCCAGGCTGTGTAAGGACTATTTGGCAAAGAAGGAGAGTGATGGAGTGCTGCATCAGATGACCTTGCCTCCACAATCTTCCGACCTTAACCCAACTGAGATGGTTTGGGATGAGTCGGACGGCAAAGTGAAGGAAAAGCAGCCAACAAGTGCTCAGCATATGTAGGAACTCCTTCAAGACTGTTGGAAAAGCATTCCAGGTGAAGCTGGTTGAGAGAATGCAGAATATACATATGAAGTGGGTAAAACAGTTTTTAAACATTATTAAAGTGACCAGTGTTCAATGACTATGTACATAGATAATCAGTCTCTGAGGTGCAGGGTAGAGTACCGGGTGGAAGCTGGCTATTAACAGTGAGTAAGTTTAGTAAAGTGTGGTGGCTGGTTAGTGGTGACTATTTAACAGCCGGATGGCCTTGAGATAGAAGCTGTTTTTCAGTCTGTCGGTCCTAGCTTTGATGCATCTGTACTGTCTCCTCCTTCTAGATGGTAGCGGGGTGAACATGCAGTGGCTCGGGTGGCTGAGGTCCTTGTTGATCTTCTTGGCCTTCCTGTGACACCGGGTGCTGTAGATGTCCTGGAGGGCAGGCAGTGTGCCCCCGTTAATGCTTTGGACTGACTGCACCACCTTCTGGAGAGCCCTGCGGTTGCGGATGGTGCAATTTCTGTACCAGGCGGTGATACAGCCTGACAGGATGCTCTCAATGGTTAATCTGTAGAAGTTTATGAGGGTCTTGGAGCCAAATTAATTCAGCCTCCTGAGGTTGAAGAGGCATTGATGCGCCTTCTTCCCCACACTGTCTGTGGAAGGCACTGTTGTGTTGATTGCTGAGCTGTAGTCGATGAACAGCATTCGCACATACAGTGGGGAAAACAAGTATTTAGTCAGCCACCAATTGTGCAAGTTCTCCCACTTAAAAAGATGAGAGAGGCCTGTAATTTTCATCATAGGTACACGTCAACT